AGCCCCACTGGCCATGGTGCCTGACTTTACCATCTCTTCTGGAATTCTCATTCTCCATCTGGGTCATTTCCCTCCCATTCTGGCCCCTCGGTCCCCAAAATAGAACATTGCTGAAGGCATGAACACTGTTCCAGGCAGATAGTGGCTATGGGCAACAGGGCACAGACAAATGCCCCACACTTGACTCTATCTCCCAGGTGGCATCCAGTTTGTCACCTCCTTATTTTCTCAGTTTCCCCCTCAGTGAAGCAGGATGGAGTCTCCGTCAGATCTGACATCCTATTTTGTTGTTGTAGTTGCTTTGGGGGCCACAACTGGCATTGCTCAGACCTACTCCTGACTGCACTCAGGGATTACTCCTGGTGGGGCTTGAGGACCATATGGGTGCTGGGGGTCAAACTTAGGTCAACTGCAGGCAAGATAAGTGCCTTGCATGCTGTCCTATCACTCTGGCCCCACGACCTTACATTCCATGCAAGAACAGTGAGTGGGTCTCGAGTTCATGGAGTGAACTCGAGGAAAATGGGTTCTGGTCTAGGCAAGGCTAAGACCTAACCTAGAGTCAAGTGAGAGTGGGGGGCAGGACAAGGGCTAGTAAGGGTGTTCTGGAAATAATCTAAGGGGAGCAAAGCCCCAGTGGGCTCCCTCTGGGCTGAGCTGGGGGTGCAATAATCACCATGTATGTGGGGTAGTGACTTGTTGAGAGGGCGAACTTAGGGAACTGCAAAGGGTGGGGCCAGTATGCTTAGCACTGGCATTGGATGTTTCTAGAGAGCTCATTCTTCGTTCCTCTTTACTTTGCCTCTGACCCTGAGTGGGTGTCTAGGACCATGACAAAGGTCCATGCAGAGGAAAATCTGGTGGGAAGGTCAGCCCATGGGGAGGAAGGAAGAAAGACTTATTCACCCAGGAAAACTTTCCATTATTCCATTTAGAGCGGTAGAGAAAAGGGTCCCAAGGGCATAACTCACTTGAGTCTGTCTCCCCCTTCCCTGGGCCTTCCCTTGAACATCTGCAGTGAGCCCCTCCCACCACCCACCACCGCTGCTCCCCCCCTCACCTCTCTTCCCCACCCTCCCAAGGTTTGGCGGGATACACTGCCAGCTCCTACCTACCTGAGCACTCCCACCACCCCTGCCCCCACTCCCCCAAGGTCTGGCCAGAGACACTGCCAGCCCCTCCCCATGTGAGCCCTCTGGCTGCCAGCCCAGCCACTGAGTGAACACAGCCTCCTCTCCCTGGCTATGATCCGGGAACTTCCCAAACTGCCTCAGAATGGGAATTTCCGCTCCGACCTCCTCTGCAGCGAATCTTCCAGAGATCACCTTCCCTGGAGAATTGAAGTGAAAGGGATTTTGCCTCTTCCAGAACTTTCTCTTCTGGCACACACCCGTCCATCTTGGGTTCCCTTGGTCCTTACCAGTTCAGGTTCCCAAAGCAAGAACAGACCCTGAAGCAGGTCAGCACCTCACTCACCCACCAGTGAGTCCAAAGTTGCACATATGCCTGGAGCTTTCCTGTGTGCTTGGGGACCAACTGTCTTCCTCTCTGGGCTCTGCTTAAAAAAAAAAAGAGGAAGTTGAAGGGGCCAGAGAGATAGTACAAGAGGTGTTGCATGCAGCTGACCCTTATTCAATCCCTGGCACCATATAGTCCCCTCAGCACTATGAGGGGTCAAGCTTGAGCACAGAGCCCCAAATAGCATCTCACTGCTTCTGGATATGATACAATGCTCCAGGGCCCCCCAAGAGAGGAGTTTGGTCCTCACGTAGCAACTTTGGTTCTCAGAGGCTACGAGCAATCTTTAAATGTTGGAATGTGGATAAAACCTGAGGGAGTACAAGATCCCAGGGGGAAATGAGCTGCCATTCCCCACGTCCATGGAAAAGGACCTTTAAATGAGTTAGCTGGGGGGGTTCTCATTCATGAGGGGAAAACTTATGAATTGGCCTGCAAGTCCATATAAGATGGTCTGGGGGTTTAGAGAATGTGATTCAGTGGGTAGAGCACCTGCCTGAAAAAGTGTGAGGCCATGAGTTAGACACCTGGCTCACCCCAACATGCCGAGTGTGACTTGTGCTTCTCTGATGTGAGAGATCTCCAGGGCATTGCCTTCATGGGTGAGTATGAGTTCCAAACCCCAAAGTGTGCAACCCCTGGGTAATGGCACAGCCATGCATCATCCTTCAGTTATGGTAACTGCAATTAGTGAAGGGCAGCAGGATGGAGGCTTTAAAAATAAACCCAGGAGTGGGTATGAGCAGAAATGCCCAAAGGCACACAAGGATTGTGATTGGGTGTATGCTGAAGCCATTGCAGTGAAACAGTGGAACCCTGAAACAATGGAATCAAATGTTTGGGAGAAGAGGGTCAGGGTTTAGAAGAATGGAAACAGGGTTCTGGGAGGCACTGCATATGCGGTCTTCAGCCTTTGCAGACTTTGTGGGATTATACCTGGGTTTCTGGGCTGGACTCCAGAGTCCCTGCTGCTGCGTCTCCAGCAAACACCTCCCAGAGGTGCTTCAGAAAGCCCGGGTATGGGTAATTTGGGATGCATGTCCTGGGATCTCAGCCCACAACTATTACTCCCTGTGAGATTCTAGACAAAAACGTAGACTCCCATTGAAAAGCACTGGGGTGTCGGGACGAGAGGAAGGCGGTGCTCGCTCCAGGCGAGCCCCTGGGAACTCTGCTCTTCCTTCCCTCTGCCAAGACTCTGTGAACCAGACTTGGTGTGTGTGCCAGAGCCACTCAGTTCTCACCCCAGAGGTGGTGATGGGCAAAGCACTTCCTCCCTAAACTTGGTGCATTTCATAGCTGGTGTCTCCAGGACCCATTAAGAGAGAAAAGCCACTGGGATCCTTCATGAGCACTGAGTGGAGTAGAGTGGGATCAGAAGTTTAAGGTGTTAAATGGAAATGGGCTTCCCAGGCCAGCTCAGCAGCTCAGCTGCTGCATGGAATCCCCTCAGAGCTGTAAAAGATAGTTCCCTGACATGAATCTCGGGGCTTGCAGGTTTTAGTGAGAATCCATGGTGTCCGATGCCAGAGAAGGCAGAACTGCAGTTTGAGGGCAGGCATCTACCCTTCTTCACCCCTGAGCCTCGTCTTCTGCCTCCCAGGACATCCTGGTCAGGGGCACTTGTCCTGTCCACTGCTGCCTGCTTCAGGCTCCAACCCCACAGAACCTCCCTACCCCCATCCCAAGCGTGCCTCTTGGATTCTCATGAGGTGCCTGCTAGCTTCTCTGGGGCAGAGGAAACTCAGTTCCACGACCCAGTGCCAGCTGAGAGACATAAGATTATTCCTTCCAGAAATAGGTCATCATGGTGACAGCACAGACCCTGGGCTCTGCTTAACTCTTTGGGGTGTCTGACCTCCATGGGGCTTATTTATCTATAAAGTGGGAATTGTTGGATATTAACCCTAAATGCTTAGACTTCATCAGTGAATTGTCCCTTTCCCTCCCCCAGAGAAACTTATAGTGCTCTGGCAAGGACCCCTAATCCCCTCGAGTTTAACTTTAACCTTTCCTTAATACCTCTGCATTTACCTCTCATTGTCACAATTCTCAGGGTTTGTTACCTATAAGTCAAACTTTCTGGTGAATCTGAACTTTGTATTTGTAGTGAATTACTTGCTTTTCTATTTCCCCTATAGCCTTTTCATATCTTTCTATAGAGCAATGTTCTTTGCTTAAACACAGAAAGACCTTTAGTACTATGCTCCTAATGTATGGGAGTTTACTAACTGAAATAAATCTACTCCTGGGCAACCATCATAATTACTTGACTCAGGATTCAGTTGCCATAGTTCCCAAAAGGGAGGTCCCACTGCAGGACCTGGATAGACTTAGGGTGAATGGCAAAGCTACCAGGCATTGAAATAGGACAGTCTAGAAAGCATAAAAACAGTCTTGATATAAGCCATTTTGCTTTAAGAGACAGGACCTCCATAGGGAAGGACAAGCTGAACTTTCCTGAGGATTTAGTCTGGGATTTACAGTAAAAACCTTGCTTGCTCTCTGAGTCCAGAGAACCAAGTTTTGTAATCTATATCTCTTACAGTGTTTATCCAAATAACTGCAAGTGTTAATAGGAAGTAAACTTAATTGTATAGTATTACAACTGAAGGGGAAAAGAAAAGCAATATAGATATCCCTGGGAGACAGAACATCTCCTTGAGTTAATTCCCCCAAGAGAATTGCCTCCATGGAAATGATTTATCTCTATAAAGGATCAATCACACCTACATGCAGTGCTATACCTCACACCCCCTCAGGTGTTCTGTAAGTTTGCTAATACCTCTGCATTAAATGGGCCATTTTGACCATTAGTCCGTGTTCTCCATCTCTTTGTTTCTCTGCTGGGGACACTGTGACTGCACGCATTGCACACCCACATTTTTAGCTCATAGGAATGAACCAGGTTGGAGATTGGAAAGACTGAGCTTTTGTAAAAGGACTTTTGACTCTCCTTGGCAGCAACGCATGATCCAGACGGCTTCCTGAATCCAGTAATTCTTAGGGTTCAGTCTGCAATTACCTAGACCTCAGGTTCAGCAAAGTTTCCCAGGGCCACCATCCTGCATTTCCCCCGGCAGCCAGTGGACTTTAATATGCTGTTGGGAAGCCCGCCTTGGAGGCTCCTGAAACTGTAGCTTGAGGTGGCCCACTGGCCAGGCCCAGGAACATGCATCTGCCCTGTGAGCTCCCTGTTTTGGTTTCCTTTCCGTTCTGCAGGGCATAACATGCATAACAGGGCAGAACATGCATCTGCCCTGTGAGCTCCCTGTTTTGGTTTCCTTTCCTTTCCTTTTTTCAGGGAAAGTGGAACACTCTCCTATTTCCTGTGAAGCTTCCAGGCCACTGCACTGGCTCAGCACTTTTACAATTCCATTTCGTCATAACAGGACGATGGGGCTTTTGGCCAGTGCTCCACCCTCTCGGTTTTTCATAAAAAGAGGCAGAATTGAGGAGCAGACAGGCTGAGTCAGTTCAGAAGTGACTCAGGCTGAAGCTCGTGTCCTCTCAACTGTCATGAAGGTCTCACTTGCCCTCCTGTGCCTGCTGGTCACAGCTTCCACCCTCATCACCCAGCTCCTCGCTGGGCCAGGTAAGCTCCTGGGAGGCACACCACCTCATCTCTGGGCTAGTGCGATATATCTCAGCAGAAGGGGCACCCACATTCTCAGCTCGGACTGCTTCCCAACATGGGGCCTCAGAGAATGATCAGGAGTGAGTCTGGCCGCACAGCTGCTCTCAGGCAGACTGGACAAGAATTCCAACAGTGACCTCTAACCCGGCCCCTTGCTCTGCAAATATAGCTGGGTTAGTTGCAGTTTCTGCACTGACTCCTGTCAGCAGTGTTTGGGAAGTAGAGGGAGGAGGTGATTAGAGAGGGAAATTTCCAGTGGAGGAGGTGAGGACATCTCCAGAGGAGGAGACTCAGAATCTGGACTGGGGTATCCTCATCTGATCTAACATAAGGGACATAGCACGGCAGAGGCAGTGGGTGTTGGGGGAGCTTATGACAGACTCGATGGCTTAGAGCCTCAAGAGGGTCCACATCTGGGATTCCTGTGTGGATCTCCCTTAACAGTGATGGATTGGATGATTAGCTCCTCCTAACCACACTTCCGGAAATTATCTAGTAGAACTACCCCTTTCCATGAAATGGGAAACTGAGTCAGCACAACATTTCTAGTTGTGAGGCTCTCCCTTCTAGATGGAAGTATCAGGATTAATGGGTCTCACCTACACTGCATCTTCCCCTTGCCTTGCCTTCTTCTTATTTCTCTTTTCTGCTTTGATAAAAACCAGAAAAGAATCTTGTCCATTATAAAATGACTTTTGAAATTTTCGTTTCCAGATGGAATTCCTTCCACGGGCGCCTGCTGCTACTCCTTCACTGGTAGAAAGATCCCGCTGCAGAGGCTGGTGAACTATAAAACCACCAGCAGCAGGTGCTTCAAAGAAGCTGTGATGTGAGTCGAGCACACCACCCCTCTCTGGTCCCTTTCCTCCCCAAGGAGCAAGGGGCAAATTACCCAAATGCTCATACACCAGATCAGAGAACTGGATCACATACCATCGGACTCAGAATCTAAAAGTGTCAATGGGATGTCAGGGGCCTCGAGGGGAACAATGGTCCCCACCCCCCTCTTCCTGAGTGACAAAAAATTCTTCAGCCTGAGTGAGGATGGCTTTCTCCACAGGAGCACCCTGCCTGGAGTCTCTCCTTCCTCCTGTCTTCCTCCCCAAGTTCTCATAGCAACTTTAGGGCAGGGGTATAAAATGGGGTACATACCTAGGCTAAACTCTCAATGTAACCCTATCTAACCATGCTCTCTCTCTCTCTCCCTCAGCTTCAAAACCAAAGGAACCAAGGAAATTTGTGCTGATCCCAAGGTCAAATGGGTTCAGAATGCCATGAAGGATCTGGACAAAATAAACAAAGCTCCAAAACTTGGAGCACTTACTCCAAAGCCAGAATTACTCTCTGCAGAGCCTAAAGGACTTACTCAAAAGCCTGGAACTCTCTCTACAACACCTGGAACACCCGTTCCAACACCTCACATACTCACTCCCAATGCAATCATCAAAAGCTAATTTTCTTCTAGTTTCTCTTATTGCCCTTTGATAGTATTGTTATATACAACCTCAAAGAGTATAAACTTTGTGTATTTTTTGAAACACAATACCTTGAAAAATGTTAATAGCATTTAAGTTATTGACACTTTGAATGTATAGTTTCCATGACTACTCGTGTTTTGTTTGATGTTTTTTGTATAGAGACTTTACTTTCCAGCATGGATCCCAATTCTATCCTGTGGTTGTATGAGACCTTGTGACAGGCATTAATACATTTTGAATTTAAAGGCATTATTTAAAATGCGATCATAAAAATATGTATTATTATGTAACAAGTAAGCATTAATATATATTTTTGTACAAAACCTGACTTTGTGCGTTTTCTTGAAGGAAATTTAAAAACTGGGTATAAGACTAGGGATGATGATGGAGGGTACCAAGGAGGACAGGGCTCAAGTTTTGGAGGAAGGAGAATGTTGATTGGTCCTGGGCTCTACAATAGGTGGGTTAATCTGAGTGTCTGTGCACAAATTTTTCTGGGAGAAACTGATCAGACATACTGACACTATAACACACAATATGTTCAGATCCCAATGACCTTTGCCACTTGTCTAGTAAAAGTCCATCAGTCCCCTGCCTTCTTTTTTAATGGTCCCAGACCCCTCTCTTACACAGTTCAGCTTTCGTCTCCCTGAGCTCCTGTGCCCTCTGTCTCTTTTCCTCTCCTTAACTCTTCAACTTGGAACTCATGGATACTACAAATACTGGAAAACCAGGTAGCAATGTCATGACCATTAATAAGATGGTTAAAGAGTTCACCAAGGGGCTAAGACTTAAATTTATACTTGATGAGTGGATAAGATTTTTTCCAGAAAAGAGTGAGAGGGAACAAGAGACGTAAGTAAACAGGGCAAGAGCCTTTCTCAGCTGACAAGGTGTGATTCCAGACACCACAGAGGGTCTAAGCACTGCCAGGAGTAACCCCTGAGCACAGAGGAGAGGAAACCCTGAGCACTGCCAGGTTTGGCTTAAACTACTGTAACTCCCCCCCCCCAAAAAAGAATAAATTAAAAAAAAACAAAAACCCCCAGAAATCTGGGAATAAATACCTAGAGGTATAAATGATGATCCCATAGTCATCATTGGAACAGAAAAACACTCTGATAGAAGTTGGGGTCTCTTGTGTCACTTAAAGAGGACATTGGAAAAGAATGTGGAGTTGGGGTCTCACATGCGGTAAACCTAGGTCCTATCCCTGGCACCATTTACAGTCTTTAAGGCCTGCCAGGAGTGGTTCCTGAGCACAGAACCAGGAATTGGCTCTGAGCATCACTGGTGTAGCCCATAAGAAAGGAGGGGAGGGGAGGAGAAGGGAAAGGGGGAGAGGAGAGAAGAGGAGATAAGAGGAGGGATGTGGGAAAGGGAGAGAAAGGGGAAGAGAGGGCGGGAGGGGATGAAAGGGGAGAGGAGACATACGGAAACACATTGAATGTCTTGATGGAGAGTTAGTACTCAATGGTGCAGCACTGCCAGGAAGGATGCACCACATGGGAAGGGACTTGGCATGTTGCTCCTGGTAGGTCAGAAAACTCTGGGTTCTCCTCTAAGAGAGAAGAAAATCAGATGCCACCAATGAAGGAGGCCCATACCATTCTAGCTGTAAAACAATTTTCCCAAGAACAAACATGAAAGAACCCCACGAAAGGCCAAGGTAGAGACACCGGAAGAAAGTCCTGCTGAGTGGAGGGCCAGAGCTCCCCTCACAGATGGGCCTTCTCAGTGGCCAGGCAGGTACAGCTTCAGGACTGCCACTCCCAGTCCTGTGGGCTCCCCGAATTCTATCCCATTGCACATGGGGGCCAGGAGAGGTATAAGGTTTGCTCTAAAGCTCTAAACCTTTCTAAAAAGGATCATCCATAATTTATAAACAGACCCCCAAATTTGCTTCTGGCATAATATTATTGTTAACTGTAATTCTTTTTTTTTAATTTAGGAGTACTGCTTTTTATTCAGCCACAAATTAGGCTGATTGAATTGTGCATGAACTCCACCTTACTTCCCCCCCCCCCATTTTTTATAATCTTATTTATTGAATCACCGTGAGAGCAGTTATCAAGCTTTCAGTTTTAAGTCTTGGTCATACAATGAAACACCCGTACCTTCACCAGTGCCTATTCTCCACCACCCAAAACCCCAGTATACCCCCATCCCACAACCTCCCCCTACCTGTGGGGCAGATGATTTCTAAATTACTCTCTCTCTATTTTGATTACATTCAATATTTTGACACGAGACCCACCATTATTTTATTTGGGATTTTACCCCAACACTCAGATCTCCGAAAAGGCAACAGTAGACAATTTGTTTTCTATTGCTGGTTATGAATAACATATAATGTTGCACGGCTGCAGTAGTGGCTGTGCGATTTTGAAATTCTGAAATTTTAACAATTAAACCTGAAGGGATTTCTTGCCAAAACCTGCTGAGTTCTATCCTCAATGGGGAAAAACTGAGAGCCTTCCCTCTAAGATCAGGGACGAGACAGGGATGCCCACTCTCTCCACTGCTGTTCAATATAGTACTGGAAGTACTTGCAATAGCGATTAGGCAGGAAAAAGATATTAAGGGCATTCAGGTAGGAAAGGAAGAAATCAAGCTCTCACTATTCGCAGATGATATGATACTCTACTTAGAGAACCCAATAACTTCCACCAAAAAACTCCTAGAAACAATAGACTCGTATAGTAAAGTTGCAGGTTATAAAATCAATACCCAAAAGTCCATGGCTTTCCTATACGCAAACAGTGAGAGAGAAGAAAGCAACATGAAAAAAACAATCCCATTCACAATTGTGCCCCAGAAAATCAAGTACCTAGGAATCAGCTTAACTAAGGAAGTAAAGGACCTGTACAAAGAAAACTACAAAACGCTACTTCAGGAAATAAAAGAGGACATGAGGAAATGGAAAGATATCCCCTGCTCATGGGTCGGGAGACTTAACATTGTCAAAATGGCAATACTACCGAAAGCATTGTATAAATTCAATGCAATCCCTATAAGGATACCCATGACATTCTTCAAAGAAATGGAGCAAACACTCTTGAAATTTATATGGAACAATAAGCCCCCACGAATAGCTAAAGCAATTCTTGGGAAAAAGAAAATGGGAGGAATCAACCTCCCGAACTTCAAACTGTACTACAAAGCAGTAATAATTAAAACAGCATGGTACTGGAACAAAGGCAGAACTGCAGACCAATGGAACAGGGTTGAATACACTGACATCTCTCCTCAATCATATGCTCATCTAATCTTTGATAAAGGTGCAAGTAATGTGAAGTGGAGTAAGGAAAGCCTCTTTAATAAATTGTGTTGGCATCACTGGACGGCTACATGCAAAAAAATAGGCTCAGAACTCTGCCTAACACCATGTACAAAAGTAAGATCAAAATGGATTAAAGACCTCAACATCAGACCAGAAACCATAAGGTACATTGAAGATAAAGTTGGCAAAACCCTCCATGACATTGAAGCTAATGGTATCTTCAAAGATGCCACGCCACTGGCCGAGCAAGTGAAAACAGAGATAGATAAATGGGACTATCTTAAACTAAGAAGCTTCTGCACCTCCAAAGAAACAGTGACCAAAATACAAAGACAGTCTACAGAATGGGAAAGGATATTCACCGAATACACATCTGACAAGGGGTTGATATCCAGGATATACAAAATACTGGTTAAACTCCACAAGAAGAAAACATCCAACCCCATCCAAAAATGGGGCAATGAAATGAACAGAAACTTTCTCAAAGAAGAAATCCGAATGGCAAAAAAGCACATGAGAAAATGCTCTACATCATTAATCATCAGGGAGATGCAGATCAAAACCACAATGAGATACCATCTCACACCTCAGAGACTGGCCCACATTCAAAAGAACAAAAGCAACCGATGCTGGCGTGGATGTGGCGAGAAAGGGACACTCCTTCACTGTTGGTGGGAATGTCCACTGGTTCAGCCCTTCTGGAAAACAGTATGGACGATTCTCAAAAAATTAGAAATTGAGCTCCCATTTGACCCAGCAATACCACTCCTGGGAATATATCCCAGAGAGGCAAAAATGTATAGTCGAAGTGACATCTGCACTTGTTTGTTCATTGCAGCACTCTTTACAATAGCCAGAAACTGGAAGAAACCTGAGTGCCCAAGAACAGATGACTGGTTAAAGAAACTTTGGTACATCTACACAATGGAGTACTATGTAGCTCTTAGAAAAGATGAAGTCATGAAATTTACATACAAGTGGTACAATATGGAAAGTATCATGCTAAGCGAAATGAGTCAGAAAGAGAGGGATAGACATAGAAAGATTGCATTCATCTGGGGGAAATAAAGTAACAAAGTATGAGATTAATACCCAAGAATAGCTGAGATCAGCACCAGGAGGATTACTCCATAACTTAGAGGCCAGCCGGGTATCCTAGAGGAAAGGGCTGTTCAGATAGAGAAGGGAGCACCAAATAAAGGATGTTTGGAGGATCCTCCCAGGAGGGGAGATGCATGTCGAAAGTAGACTATGGACTGAACATGTTTGCCACTCAATGCCTCTTTTGCAGACCACAACACCCAAAAGGAGAGAGAGAACACAGGGGATTGCCCTGCCACAGAGACAGGGGGGGTGGGGGGATGGGGGTGGGAGGGATATTATCCATGGTGGTGGAAAATGGGCACTGGTGGAGGGATGGGTATCTGATCATTGTATAATTGAAATCAAAGCACAAAAAATTGTAAATCTACAACTTTAAAAAAAATAAAATAAAATAAAGGGAAAAAAAACAAAAAAACAAACAAACAAACAAAAAAGCCTGCTGAGTTCTAAGATTTGTTCCTGAGTCTCTGGGATCATGGCCATTAAACAGCTTGATCAGGAGCTAGAGAGGCCATTCATGGGCAGTGAGTTGGGGTCTTGTTGGGACAGGGAGGAAGGAACTGGCTCCACCCCCATCCCATGAGGCCCCATGTGTCTCGTCACTATGGCCCAAACCTGACTGTCCAATGGCCTCTGGAGTATGGCAGCCACCGAACTGCCAAGGGGGAGCAGGCAAAGGGACAGCATCCTTTCTCCCCTGGGGTGGTCCGGTGACAGTAACCTACTGCCGGGACCAGATGCATTTCTGCCAAGAGCTGCTGGGTCTCGAGATTTGTTTCTGAGTCTCTGGGATCATAGCTATTAAGCAGCTTGATCAGGAGCCAGAGAGGCCATTCATGGGCCGTTGACTCGGGGTATCTTTGGGACAGGGAGAAAAGGGCTGGCTCTACCCCAATCCCACGAGGTCCCACGTGTCTCATAACTGCGGGCCCAAACCTGACTGTTCAGTAGTCTCTGGAGGATGGTGGCCACCGGGCCTCCAGGGGGAACAGGCCAAGGCACAAAGCCTATTCCCACCTGGGGTGGTCCAGCTCCTGTAAGCTACTGCAGGGACCGGATGCATTTCTGCCAAAAGCTGCTGGGTTTCGAGATTTGTTTCTTAGTCTCTGGGATCATGGCCATTAAGCAGTTCAATCAGGAACCAGAGAGGCCATGCCTCCAATTATACAGCTGAGCCAGAGGTGGTTTGTGGGTGTGTCTCCCACATACCTAACTTTTGGCCATTTACTTTCTTGGTAAACTTGGCCCCAAGTTGTTGGGGTCTGGTCAAAGGCACAGCAGCAATTTCGGGGTATCTGAAAGTCTGAAGGCGCCATGAGGCTGCTGATGCACTCGCCTCACAGGTACAGATTGACCTGCTGGCAGCACCATACCCCCTATTAACTGTAATTTTAACTGTAATTTTTTTTAAAAAAATTTATTTTAGGCACCAGGACTTGTAATTTTTTATTTTTTTACATTATGGTTAAAAAAAAAAAAGCTTTCTGATGTAACCTTCACCATGCTTAAGTGTAAGCAGTTGAGCCAAGTTAAATAAATTAGCATTATTGCATAATGTATCTCCAGAGCCTTTTTATCTTCTAAATCTGAAACTCCAAAACACTTTAACAACTTCCCATTTCCTTCTCCCTTCTAGCTCAGGCAAGTCCAGTTCTACTTTCTGTTTCTATACAGCTGACTGTATCAGGGAAAGCTGAAAGTGCTTCTCTGGTTTTCTTCATTTATCACAGCAACCTCAAGGCCCATCCCTACTGATGCAAGGGATTTATATGTTAAGTGGAATAACTCAGAAAGATAAAAGAGAAATTCTGTATGATCTCACTTATAGGGAGAGTCTAAAAAGATGAAATCTGTTTCACTAATAAAAATTTTTAAAAAAATTTTAAAAAATAAAAAGATGAAATCATAGAGCTGTAGTTTCTAGGAGAGGGAATGAGGGAAATGGGAGAAACTGGATGAAAGGTGTAAGTTTCAACTCATCTGCTAAGTAAGCTCTGGGATCTTCATACAAGCATGGTGCCTATCATTACATACATGATATAGACTTAAAAGTTGCTAAGACAATAGACAACTTCCAATTTCATCATACTTTCTATAACCTACAAGCTTATACTCTGCAACCATTTATAAAGTGTTTTAACAAAATTCTGTGCCAATTTAACAGCATCTTTTATTTCTCACATTCCCAACTCCCTCAGATGACAAACACAGGCTTTACCACATGATTATTAGCCGTGATTATTTCCTGGGAATTAGGCAGAAATGTACTTCATGACTTTCCTCGGGTGATTTGGTGACTGAGAGAAGTTGTACCCACTGGCACCCATCAGAACGACTTTAATCTGCTATGCAGACATTTCCAGGATTCATTGATTAGTTCTCCAGGACACCTAATGCCTGGACCAGGAAAATGGTCCTTAGGTACTTGCAGGAGCTAGGAGATGCACATCAGGTCAGAATAGATGCTATTGTGATGGCTGATCTCAGAGCAGGCTGAGAAGATGCCATGGACAAGCAGGTAGAATGAAGAATGTATCCCCCAGTTTTTAAGACTAGAATTAATATAATATTTTTAAATGCTCATAGAGAGAGTGGTAAGAGCAAAGCTGCAGAGAGAATAAAGCTGATGAAAAACCAAAACAAGAACACAAGCCTGGAGTTATCTCTAAGTCAGAGTTCGAGGCTGTGGGAAGCTGCTCTCCCACTGAAGAATTTCCCTCCTTTGCCTGAGTTCAGTGTGGGTGTTAGGTTAGGGGTGTAAAGAGATTATAAAGGACTCTCATTGAACCCCTTTCCTGAATAATGTCAACAATCAGTTGGTGTGTGTGTGTGTGTGTGTGTGTGTGTGTGTAGGTAAGTTGTTTGGAGAGATAGCAAGAAAGAATGCTTGCCATGCATGTGGTTGACCTTAGTTTGATCCCTGGTACCCCATAAGGTCCCCTGAGCACCACCAGGGGTGATCCCTGAGCATGTAACAAGGACTAAGCCCTGATCATAGCCAGGTGTTAATCCCAATACCCCATCATAAAGATTAAAAGATATTAGAAAAAGATCCAATAAAATCAACCTATATTTGAAAAGGGAAGTTGTTTGGAATGATAAAGTGAGCTAAAGTTCTCACAGAACTGATTTCGATTCCATGGAGCATCCGCGTGTTGAAGGTGCAGGGGACAAGCTTATCTATGTTCTCTGTTTGGGTCATGTCGCTATGGTTCACAACTTTGGCTGCCTTCTGCAATCTTTAATTTAAAAGAATGTTTTCTTTGATAATGAGATTTAGAGGGAAGGGGACTTCCAAGAGGAAATCCAGAGGCCCTGAGGCCCACTGGTGATTCCCCACTAACCTTTGCTCTAGAAAGCCATGCTGCTTAGGTGCTGCCAGGAATACCCTAACCACTTTGGCAGTGCTTGGCGCTTGGCGGTCTCCAGGGTCACACCTACTTGTGCTTGGGGGCCTCTAGGGCTGTATCTAGAATTGCCCAAGAAAACATCTGCTGACAGCTATTGAACCTGGCACTATCTCCCAGACCCAAAGATCAGACATTTTAAAAAAATCACAGAATGCCACAATCTTGATGGTACAATCTTTATGGCATTGAAGTTTTGAGAGTCTACAAAACAGAGGGATTATGAAGCATGTTTACAGGTTCTTTTACACTGGTCCCGTGAAGAGCTGGGGTCTATGCTTCCTAGACTTAATGTCTTGGAGAAAAATCTTTATTTTTTTAAGTTCTGCACAACTCTAATTTTATTTATTTATTTATTTTAAATTTTATTGAATCACCGTGGGACAGTTACAAACTTTCATATTTAGGTTACAATCACACAATGATCAAACACCCAACCCTCCACCAGTGCACTCTCCCCACCACCAATATCCCCAGTATACCCCCCCTTTCCCACCCTCCCCTAGGAGAAAAAATCTTGTTTGAAATATCCAGCCGCTACAGGCGACATGGAGAGAGAAAAATGAGAGCAAGGTGTGTAGAGGGGGAGGGAATGAGAGAAGCTTCCACATGATCAACCTTAGGCTCTTCTCCCAGCCCAAACCCCAGGCATAGAGTGAGGGTCTAGAGATGACCTCAATGCTGACCCTCATCAAACTGTGACCATGTAAACAATGCCACTGCATCCCAACCACCAGAACCCCTGGTCAGGGCAATGCCTAGAAATGCCTATGCCCCAAAACAAAATCAACAATTATTATTGTTTTCAGGTCGGCTTCTATAAAGTCATAAAATACCAAAACGAAGGCTATAATTCTAGGTAATTTTATTCTACAGATACTGAATTCGGGATTCCACTTTTCTGTTCATATTCTATTATTCTACTGCTCTTCGTGTTTTAGAAAAGTCAGCAGGATTCAAAGCAGGGAAGGATTGTATTTTTCCTTAAATTCATTTTACAACCCAGAGTCCTGTGCCTCTTTCTGAACACTGGAATTTTGAGGAATAAATGGATTTGAAAAAAAAAAAAGAAAGTCCCTTACATTGCTTTGACCGTGGTACTCCTATTTCCTTTTTCTGCAAGAGCTTTTCATTTTCAAATAGCATAACATTTAATCACTAAGGTCACATACTGTGGTCTATAGGGCACAACTGTGACCTTCTCTGATCTGGGTGGGAAATGGGTTAGTCTTACTCAGGACTTTCCCCTTCCTAATCTCTTCCAAGGCAGAGTGATGATTCATTATTCATTACTCCATCCTGTGATTCATTCTGAACAGCCCACAGTCTTTCTATAAAATGCCCAAACAGAGCTGCCAGGGAAAGCAGCTTTGACAGTCCAGAAACGCGGCATCTTCAGACGACATCGTATCCTCCTGTCCACCATGAAGGTCTTTGCTGCTCTCCTGTGCCTGCTGGTCATAGCTGCCACCCTCATCACCCAGCTGCTCGCTCAGCCAAGTAAGAAATGCCTCTCTTCCCCTACAAGGGACATCACCCCATCTCTGGGCTAGTGCGGTACATCAGAGCCAAAGGGGCGCCCACATTCTCAGCGCGCACTGCTTCCCAACATGGGAGCTCAGAGGATGATCAGGAGTGGGGTGGGCCACACAGTAGCTACCAGGCAGACTAGACAAGAATGATGGCCCCTAACTCGGGCCCCTTGCAGGACCTCAGCTCTGCAAACATAGCTGGGCTGCATTTTCTGCACTGACTTCTGTTAGCAGTGTTTGGGGTTTGGGGTGGGGAGTGGGGTGATCAGAGAGGAGGACCTCCGGTGGAGGAGGTGAGGACATTTCCAGAGATGATGGAGGGCAAAGGAGACTCATAATCTGGACTGAGGTGTCTTTCTGTGATCCAATCTGGGACATGGTATTTATTGCAGAGGTAGCAGGTGTCAGGAAAGCTCATGATAGACTCGATTGTTTAGCCCCAAAGGGGTCGATGTCTGGGGTTCCTGTGCTGTTCTTCCTTACCACTGATGAGTGGGTGATTAGTTCCTTCAAATCACACTTCCAGAAATTATCTAGTTATAACAAACCCCCTGCCCTTCTCTTGTCAGTTTCTGCATACTCATTTCACAGCATGAAACTAGTCAAGGAAGCTAGTCAGCACAATATTCTAGCTCTGTGGTGCTCCCTTCTAGGCAGATGTATTGGGATGGAATGGGTTTCACTAACATCGCATTTTCCTCACCTTGTCCTCCTCACTGGAGGCTGTCTTTGGTCTGTGACTCAATATTCTGAGTGCTCTCCTTCCTAGAATTGTTATCAGTTCCTCTTTTGCTCTCAGTCAGAGAAAGCCTTCCTATTTCATTGTCCACACCAGTGAGAGCAAGATTCTAAGGAAACCCTAAAAGGACAGAGCCGGGACTTGACGTGGGGAAGGCAGCTTCATTCCCTCTGACTCTTCTTTCTGCTCTCTGTTATATACTCCAAGGTCTCTTATTGTTGTCTTGCTTGATTCAGATGGGATTAATATCTCAACCTGCTGCTACAAATTTACCAAAATTATCATCCCCAAGGAGAATCTGGTCAGCTACATGAAGATCACCAGCAGCCGGTGTCCCAGGGAAGCTGTGATGTGAGTGACACAACCACCCACAGGCAGCCCCCGTCCTGCCCTCTGCCCACAACCTCACCACCTAGTAAGGGGGGAGGGTTATTATCAGCCTGAGTTGAAGTTAAATGCAGATGCTTAGAATCTTTTATGGAATGACTGAATTCAGTTCAATTGAGACTTTTCACTCCCAGCACCCTGGGCAGCCAAGGATACGGGTCTCAATCCCTTCAACCATGAGCCAAGAAGGGCCAGAAAAACTGCTACCTCCCCTTGGGCCCTTTCTCCCTCTTCCTTCCCCAGGGTAGCTCATTGCCTGCACTAAATATTTCCCACCAAACAATGACACATAGATAGAACTGTCAAGTTATGTCCTTCCGCTAATTATGTCCTTCCTCCTGACCCCCATAGCTTCAAGACCATAAGGTCCAAGGAGATCTGTGCAGACCCCATGAAGAAGTGGGTTCAGGAACGGGTGAAATACCTGGACAAGAAGAAAATCCAAATACCAAAGCCTTGAACTCTCAACGCCTGCTCTGAAGCCAAGTCAAGATCTGAGCAACTAAGTTATGTCCCCTCGCCTTCCCAAGTCATCCCAAGTTTATCTAAATTGTAATTGTAAGGAATATGAGTGCTGTATAAAATGTGAATCATGGTTTTTCTTCGGTCACATTTGGCTTTTGCCAAGTTGATACTGCTGTCACTGGGGAGTTGGGGGTGTTTTTTGAATACAAGTTCCTGCACATGACAGATCACTCCGGCCCGTTTCTCCCCCCACTTAGAGCAAACTGCTCCTCTTTACACTACCTCACGCAGTGCAAAGAAGGTCCTTGTAAGAATTAATGCAAATATATTGATATTCACATATAATAATTTTAATTTACGAGTGGTGATATCTCTGTGAAACTATAATATTACTGTAGAATTGTATGTTTTTTGTATGTATGCATGACTCATATTTTTTCACCTAAAATATATTTTTGGATAAAACTTAACTGTAGATGTGATGATGGTTTCTTTGGAGGTGTTTGGGCCACACCTGGTGGTTCTCGGGGGTTACCTTGGCTTTGTGCTTACGGAACATTCACCCTAAGTGTTCAGGGAAATGCACAGTGCTAAGGATCAATCCCAGGTTTCCTCCTGCAGAGCATACACTCACCCTCTGAGCTGTCTCTTAGACCTTAGAGTGGTGCTGTGTGTGTGTGTGTGTGTGTGTGTGTGTGTGTGTGTGTGTGTGTGTGGTTTCGGGGCCACACCCAGCAATGCTTAAGGCTTTCTCCTGGCTCTGTGCTCTGGGATCACTCCTAGTGGGGCTCAGGAGGACAATGTGGGGTGCTGGGATTGAATCCCGGCCAGCTACATGCAAGACAAGAGCCCTACCCACTGTACTATCACTCTCCCCCATCCAAAGTGGCTTTTAAAGATAAGATACGGTAAGAGTAGCAGGGGGAGAGGGTTGATTTCATAAGGTGGTGCTCATGCTTCCCAGGACCAAGTTTTTGATGGATGGAACCTGAGCTTGGCCCAGGCTGGGCTTACCTGCATGTTAAGGCGGGTAGGAGACTTATACATCAGGTGTAGGCAGCTCTAAATCTCCAGACCTGGACTCACCTTCAGCCACTGGTTCAGATCCTTTCCACCTTTCCAGGAATTTTTACTTTACTCAGGATCCCAGGTCCTACTCAAATGTCTCCCCACCCCCTCCACTACTACATCAGTTTTGTCACTCATTGGATTTCCTCCCTTCTAATCTACCTTGAATCCAGAATAACACAAGCATTATTTGCATTGAGAAATCAGAGAGGAGACCTACAGATCACTCTAGCAAGTTCCCCTCTGCCTCCAAGAGTTGCCAGGGCTTAAAATATGTCTCTATGCTATCTGTGCTGAAGGGGAGCTAAAGGAGGCAGTCAGGTGAGGAGGGGAACATGGATATTGAAAATCAGAAAGCTATAAAGCCGGGAGCTGACGAAAAGAAAGTATCCTAGAGCCAGCCAGGAGTAAAGACACTTGGCCCCAATCTTGGAGGCAATCTTGCCTCTGGAGACAATTCAACAGGAACAAAACTCTGATAAGATCCGAATGAAGAAGAACAAAGAAGACCACCAAGTTCAAAGTCCTTGGCTACATCATAGCAGTGGATACTTAGGTGCATAGAGAGCCCCCAGCCAAGGCCATTTTATAGGCTAATAATCAACTTCCCCAGATAACTAGTGCACTCAAGCCATCGAATGGAATCTCCCACAACCAGACTCTGGATATGCACATCACTTTCCTTTCCCTTACAGGCCTTTCTCCGTGGCCATCTCTGTCTCTCCCTTTCTGTCTCTCCCCTCTTTCTCTCTCCATCTCTGTCTCCTCACTCTTTCTCCTAAATCCTGAATGAAACATTAATACAGTTATTTCATTATTCATCTCTTCCTGAACTTTCCTCCTGGGAGAATAAGCAATGAATCCAGGAAATCCAGGAGATCATTGCATGATCATGAAGTTTTTCCTTTCTTGCAAGGACTATAACCTTGCCTTTGAATTCAGGTGGTAGGGACCAGCTGCCATACTGTATGGATCAAGTCGGTTTCAGGTGCATCTTGACAGTTGCTTAGTAAGGCTGGCCAGACGCTGGGGTCCACACTGTGCAGATTCTTATAAATCTTGGCCTCTCTCCTACCTCCTGGCAACATTGCAACACCATGATGAACTGGCAGAAGTGGGGTAGCACTTTCTCTGGTGTGGCTAATTGACTCCCACTCAGGCTCCCCTTTGCTTTCACTGGCAACATGTTTTTTGGTGAGTCAGCCAGGAGTAAGAATCAAGTGACTTCACTGGCCACAGTTATTCATTCCTTCATCTCCCACAAAGGAATTTCAGAGGAAGACAATGCATTGTAGCACTGTAGCACTGTCCCCTGTTGTTCTGTAATGTCTCTATTGTGAGACTTGTTACTGTTTTTGGCATATTGAATACATTACAGGTACCTTGCCAGGCTTTGCTGTGCAGACGAGATACTCTCGGTAGCTTGCCAGGATCTTTCAGAGGGGTGGAGGAATCAAACCCAGGTCGCCCGGGTTAGCCGCGTGCAAGGCAAACACCCTACCTTTGTGCTATTGCTCCAAGCACAGCACAGCACAGAAAACAATAGCAAAGAAACTTTGTGTAAAGGAATGAGTAAGGTTTTTGCAATGCTACCTCATCCCCCTTCAAATATCTAGAAGAACTCTCTGGAATTGGGAAAAGCTTAAAACATACTGGCCTGGGGCTTATAGTTTGAAGGGTGTGACAAGTTCTTTATAAGTAGGTGCTGAGGTTCAGATTCTGTCTTCTGACAATCAAAATTGAAAGCAAAGGACCAAATATCAAGTGACTGACTTAAGAAAGGACTTTTAGGAAAGGGAAAGAAAGGTAGGGAAAGCCCTCAGATTGTGGGAGGGGTCTCCGGAAGAAGGATACCAGAAATGGCAGAGGTCATTTCCCTTTTACACTCTTTTAACAAAGATGGGTGGGTCAGCATTTCTGTTTTATGTTCCAAGAATGTTGGTTATTAAAATCAAGAGAGGTTGCTAAGATGATTCTGGTGTCCAGTCCTAAAGTTGTTCAGGTTATCGGGTACCACCTAAACTACCCTCATAACATGCTGTTGGCATGCCATCCCTAATAAAATATCCTTAATCTTCCCATCCCTAATATTCCTAATCTTGCCATCCCTAATATCCCTAACCTTGCCACCCCTAATCAGATATTTCTAACCTTGCCATCCCTAATCAGATATCCATAATCTTTTTTTTATTAGTGAAACACTATGAGGTACAGTTGTAGATTTACAAATTTTTGTGCTTGGGTTTCAGTTATACAATGATCAAGTACCCATCCCTCCACCAGTGATCATTTTCAACCACCACAGATCCCAGTATCCCTCCCACCCCCAACCCCAATCCCACCCTGCCTCTGTGGCAGGGCATTCTCTTCTGTTCTCTCTCTCCTTTTGGGTGCTGTGGTTTGCAAAAGAGGCATTGAGTGGCAATCATGTTCGGTCTATAGTCTACTTTCAGCATGCTTCTCCCATCCTGGGAGGATCCTCCCAACACCCTTTATTTGGTGCTCCCTTCTCTATCTGAGCTGCCTTTTCTCCTAGAATGTGCGGCTGGCCTCCAAGCCATGGAGTAAACATCTTGGTACTTAGCTATTCTTGGGTGTTAGTCTCCTATTTTTGTTACTTTATATTCCCTCAATGAATGCAATCTTTCTATGTCTATCTCTCTCTTTCTGACTCATTTCGCTTAGCATGATACTTTCCATGTAATAACACTTGTATGTAAATTTCATGACTTCATCTTTTCTAACAGCTACATAGTACTCCATTGTGTAGATGTACCAAAATTTCTTTAACCAGTCATCTGTTCTCGGGCACTCAGTTTTTTCCAGATTCTGGCTATTGTAAACAGTGCTGCAATGAACGAACAAGTGTAGATGTCAATTTGACTATACTTTTTTTTGCCTCTCTGGGATATATTCCCAGGAGTGGTATTGCTGGGTCAAATGGGAGCTCAATTTCTAATTTTTGGATAATTGTCCATACTGTCCATATTGTCCATACAAGAATTCCAAGAGGGTTGAACCAGTCAGCATTCCCACCAGCAGTGAAGGAGGGTCCCTTTCTCGCCAAATCCGTGCCAGCACTGGTTGCTTTTGTTCTTTTGGATGTGGGCCAGTCTCTGTGGTGTGAAATGATATCTCATTGTGGTTTTGATCTGCATCTCCCTGATGATTAATGATGTAGAACATTTTCTCATGTTCCTTTTTGCCATTTATATTTCTTCTTTGAGAAAGTTTCTGTTCATTTCGTCGCTCCATTTTTTGATGGGATTGGATGTTTTCTTCTTGTGGAGTTCAACCAGTACTTTATATATCCTTGAGATATCTATAATCTTGACATCCTAATCAGATATCACTAATCTTGCCATCCCTAATCTGATATCCCTAATCTTGCCATCCTTAATCAGGTATCCCTAATCTTGTCCTGTTTGTTCTTCTCTTCTCTCTCTCATTCTTTCTGGAAGTTGCTCCCTATTGCAATCTATTGGCTGTGATGGGGTCACAGTGAAACTTGCAGAACACTTTTGCACTGAGGAGCAGTATCCCACGCCTCATCAGAGCTTCTTGAGTGTTTTGTTTGATTTGGGGGAAGGATCATTCATAAGGTTCAGATTTATCCATAGGGCAAGAACTCTCATGAGCCACAGATTTCACAACTATTAGGAAAGAGATCTTGAGAAGAATTCTTTCATCAAGTGACCATCTTTGCACCCTCGTACTTAACTGGAGTCAGAAGAACATAACATTAGAGAAGTAGTTGTTCTATAAAGTAAGATCTATTCTCAGAGCAAAGAGACTTGAGTCAGGAAAAGAATTGAGGGCATAGAACAAGGGAAAGGGAATTCCCTATCAGCTAGTTAATTCTAAGGGAGCAATTTCAGGGCCACTTCCAAGTATTCCTGCAAATTATATGGCCAAATTGTATGGCACCCATTCAATTAAAAAACTAAAATTGTGGTCATAGATTACAGAAGAAAACACCAAACTATGTTGGCCCCAGTGGGAAGGCTATAAAATCTGTAAATTAGCCTATTTGCACACCCAATTAGAAACAGAGGCTATTGGATCCCCCAAAGACAATGAGACACATTTTACAATTGGTACTTGAGTCCTCCAAAGGAAACCATATTTCTCTAGTAGCCCCACTGAAGGAAAATTCTAGAGATCTCTGAGGAAGTCGGCATTTGCAAACATTGTACAACCAGCCCCTATCCCTTCCTCTTGTCCCTCTGTCACTCCCCACCTTTCCTTCTCTGCCCCTCCCCTAATCCCACCCTCTGCTTCTCCCATTCCACTTATTCACCCAGGCTTCCTTTCATGACTTTATTCTCACATGCCAAAGTTTGTTCATGATTTATGTTTATGTTGCTGCAGTTTTCAGGTTTGC